GGGGGAAGGGGTCAAAGCAGAGCCAAGCCTTGGAGCGCGTGGGCAGCGGACCGCCCTGTCCGCTGCCCATGTGTTCCGCCGCTTTGCTTCCTCTCCCTGGTCTGCTGGAGACCAGGGAGAGGAACGGCCCCGTTCGTAACTGCGGATCCGACATAAGTCGGATCCGCGTAACTCAGGCACTGCCTGTACCTGTGAAAAGGATACAGCAGCATAGATCTAGATTAACAAGCTACCTTGTCTATCTGCAAGTTGTTATTCAAACCATCCATTCCGTAACTATGCTCTACCTCAGCATGCTCCACACCTGCTCCTCATACCTTCCCCCCTCTGTCTTCTCACTTATTGTGACCTCCATGCCCTTCTCCCTTCCCGTATCTTTCCATTTAGCTAATAACCATTCCTGACCTCTCTACCTCTCAAGCATGAGATGTTGACAACATTTGTCACCATCCCATTGACTGCTCTGCTTGAGCGGTCTAGCCTTTTCCCTATTGCTTCTGTCAGTCTATTTAGATAAACTCTTCAGGGCAGGGCCTAGCAGAGTGGGGTCCAAATGTGGACCTAGGCACCACTATAATTAACAAGATTAGCAACAGACAGTGCCAAGTAGCAGGTTGTTGAAGAGTCAGCACCTATCCAGTACATCCGTGGGATAACCTCTTCCTTCTTGGCCACAGTAGCAGCCGTAGGATTCAAATTCCTGTGGGCAGCGATCAGTCAAGCAATACAGCATTTCTCCTAGCTGAGGCAGCTCCTGCTTCACCTTCCCATTCCTTTTCATTTGCAGGAAGGTGAATCGGTCACAGACTGTAAAGAAAGACACTTTGTTTAATGGGCAACATACAGAGTTTGACACTGGACATTCCTCAGGGCAGAGACCAGGTCTTCTCTGGCATGTTCAAAAACCCTCTCTCAAATTCTCATTTGTTTTACATAGTTTCTGCCTTCCATAATCCGTGTCTCTCATCAAGATCTTATTGAATATGCATCTAATTACACAGTAGCCTCTGGAATGGGCCTGAATTGACTGACTGATTTTTCATTAAAATGGTGAGTGACTTACAGCTTGTGTGTGATTTCCAAATACCATATGCTTTGCAGGATCACCCGGAGAATTGCATAAGACTGTAAGTGTCTTCAGGCAGGGGTCAGCTTTTGGTTCTGTGTTTGTACAGCAGAGTGGGGTCCTGGTTGATGACCAGGACCCCAAGTCACAATGGTAATATACAATTTTACAATCTTTGTATTATGGGTGTTCAATGCCTAACCTTGCTGGGTGACCAGGGCCTGTAGCTACTACCATAACAGAAGCAAGAGTTGTCGGAGCACTCTGCTAACAGAGGTCAAATGTGTTCAAATCAGACTCAGGGAACTACAACTGTTGTTTTAGATAGAATCATAGAACACTAGAACTGGAAGGGACCTTGAGAAGTCATCAAGTCCAGTCCCCTGCCCTCATGGCAGGACCAAGCACCCCATCTAGATCATCCCTGATAAATGTCTGTCTAATCTGCACTTAAATATCTCAGTGATGGAAATCCCACAACTTCCCTAGGCAACTTATTCCAGTGTTTAACCAGCCTGACAGGAAGTTTTTCCTAATGTCCAACCTAACCCTCCCTTGCTGAAGATGACTTCAGAATCCTACATCTGCCTTTTCATTAGGATTAGGATTAGATTTTCCTTCATTTACTTTGTTATTGTATTTTGTGCTAGTGTTAAAGACCATCCCAGTATTTCTGTCCTCGAACCAAAACCATGACCATCTTTCATCCTAGCTGAAGTAACTCTTAAACTTTGGGTTACTCTCCAATTATCTCCCTGTGACTGGTTTTCAAACTGGCTGTTCTACACTGAGCTCAACTTCTTTGCTTAGAATCTATGCTAATGACTATTTCAATGTGGATAAGGAAAGGCAGATGAAATGTGAGCTCACATGCAAAGGCACTGGCGAGTAATTAAATGTTGTCATGCCAGCAAGGCATAATTAAAAAAAGAGAGGCCGAGAACAGTAAAAGTGGGAATGTGGATGTTCATGAAGGGAAAGCTTTGCTTTGCTAGGCAAATATAAGATGCAACTTAAATGGGGTTGTGCTGTTAATGTTTTGCATTTAGGTACAGTTTCAGGCTGAACTGCCTTTTTCCCCAGGTTCTCAGCCATTTTAAGATGGTAGAAAATAAGAATGCAAGGCATGAAGATTTGACTATTTCAGAAAATGGAGTGATTAACATCTAGAGCTCACTCAACGGAAAGGATGGGTGCTGGATAATGGCTGTGTTGTGTCTGAGTGAAGGAACAATAGGAGCTAGCAGCTTGCAGCAGGACTGGGATCCCCCGGGTCCTGCAGGAATCAGTGCTGTAAGAGTGAGAGCAGAAGAAATATTCACCAAACAACGCGGGAGCAGGTGGCAGTGGGTACTGCAGGGTGGGATGAGCATGATGGAAAATACCCTGCGCGGGGCTCTAATAGGAGCATTTTTCAGAGTGGATTTTTTTTGGCCAGGTAACCGTGCACGTCATTAATGCTAAAGTGATATGTGTACGTGAAATTCTTCCATCATCCACTTTAAAAATGTGCCTAATAAAGTTTGGCTACCAGAGGGGGAAGCGAGAGGAATCTGATTGATTGGCTATCTATTGAGAAGAAGGATGGTCTTGAGATTAAGGCTCTGGACTAGGATGATCAGCTCAGTTCCCTCTAAATTGCACGGCTGCACAGCAGGCTGTAGAGGGTGGCCCAGGTATACAGCCACATGAGGCCTGTAAAGGAGATAGTTGGGGGTATGTGGGGAGAGGAGTATGTTGGGGTGGGCAGGGCAGTTGCGGGCCTCATCCTCAGCCCTGGAGCTGCTGCCAGCAGGGAGAGGTGCCCCTCCTGCAGGGCGTCTGCTGGTGGGAAGAGGGCTGGAAGGAGTCCTCTGGCCCTAGCCACAGGGCAGCCTGCATCCCAACCCCTCATCCCCACTGTCACCCCAGAATCTGCACCCCCAGCCAGAGCTCTCATGCACACCACACCCCAACTCTGCCCCTTCCCTCCTGCGCCCCACACCCCTATCCTGGCCCACCCCAGAGTCTGCGCCCCAGCCAGAGTCCTGTGCACTCCAGCACTCTGTCCCAGCCCTGAACCCTCTCCCTAACACCATGCCCTTCAGCCCCACTTCCACCACACGTCACCCCCATATTGGTACACAAAACACAATGCGTTCGTTCCATGCACGGGTATGCAAAATTAGAGGGAACATTTCATTGGTGACCAGATGTTCCAATTGTATAGGGACAGGCCCGATATTTGGGACTATTTCTTATATAAGCACCTATTACCACCTACCCCGTCCCAGTTTTTCATGCTTGCTTTGTCATCTGGATAAAGACTCAGATTGGGGGTTGATTTCCACCTCTGCTACAGTAAATCACTTCAATCCCTCTAGGTCTCAGCCTTCATATCTCTAAACCACTGACAATACTCCCTTTGTCTTTTCTGTTTTGATTGAGAGACTTTTGGGGCAGAGATTGTGTTTCTACAGTATGTTTACAGAAGAGGCGGGAGGTGGTTTTTTTGGGGTCAGGTGCTGCTGACCCACAGCAAAATCAGTCGGGGGCTTCACACAAGTGAGAAGCAAAAAATAATAATAATAATAACCTCACTGACGTGGCCCTTAACTAAGAAATACCACATTCCTCTCGCACACCAAAGCCTCATAGATTTTGAGTGCTCCAGTCCTGCAGTGGGAAGGTAAAGGAGCTGAAGCACCAGCGCAGGCTCCCCAGTGCTGGGAGGGGGGAGCCCTGAGCCTCAGGGGTTGGATCCAGGCAAGCTGGGGCCTTAGGTTTCCCAGCCCTGGTCTCACAGTAATTAGTGACAAAGTAAGCAGTCAGAATTGAAGGAAAGACACTTTTGTCGCTATTACATGCTGAGACACCCATGTTCGGTACAGCCTGGCCCTAAATGCATT